GGGCGTCTTGGGGGAGGCGGGGACACTTCCCTGCCACTTCACCCTGTACCTTGCTCCCTCTGGCAATCCCTGCAGCCATGAAGCAAACAAAAGGTACGTGCCATGCCAGGGAATCCTCTGGAGACCCTTCCCCACACACACAGGCCCTGCTGCCAGGTGGAGCAAGACAATGTCAGAGCCCAGGCAGCCTGTGGAAAGGAGCCAGGGGCATGCAGGAAAATGTCTCCTTGTGGAGGAGACATGCTGGGGAGGCATCTCCCCTCCCTGGGTTTGGGGTTCCTTGTGCCCAGAGAGGTGTGGAGGGATTTATGGGGGGGTGTGTGCCAGGGAAGGTCTCTGTTTCCTTCTGGCTCCAGCAGCTCTTTGGGGTCCTGGTGAATGTTCTCAGCCCTCACTGAAGAGCCCTGTAAACCCCCAGGACTGTCCCCATCTGCTTGGCCCTGCTTTGCCCCCACAGTGAATGCCCTGAGCAGCAGGTCCTGCTGTTGGGAATGCAGGAGGACAGTGGTGACAGGGCAAAGGACAACCTGTGCTGAGAGACCGAGGGGCCTGGGGGCTGTGTGGGCTTGGCAAACCCCTCACCTGGCACCTGGCAGGCTCAGCCTGAGAGTGGACAAGCCCTGAGTGCTCGAGAGTGTGGGGTCTGCTGCCAGCCTCCCACCTCCTGTGCTGACCTCTCCTCTCCCTCTGCAGGGCTCGAGGGAGACAAGATGTCCATCGTGTAAGTGCTGATCTCCCCTTGACCAGGGGCTTTCTGGGGCTCAGGAGACATGTGGGGAATGGTCCAAGAGGGAAATCCACTCTGTCTTTTCCCAAGGAAAAGGAGGCACAAGCCCCACTCGGCCCTTTCTGGGAGGAACAAGCTCCCTAAGGCTGGGGGAGGCAGGGGCAAGGCCGTCCTACACTAACATGGCCTGTCCTTCCCTTTATCATTTCAGAAAATTTGAATTTAACCCCAAAGTTGGGATCGACAACCCTGCCTTGACACTGACTGAGGACACGGGTAAATGCATGCCCTCATCTTTCAGGGTGTCCTTGTATCTGCACGGGGCTGTGGCACCTGGGCACTGCCGGGGCCCTGAGCTCTGTCACACTGGACACCTGTGGGAGCTGAACACAAAAGGGATGAGCAGCTCTCCAGCCCAGGATGAGGTGGAGAACCTGCGTGAGGATCCCTGCTGACAGGCTGTGCCCCTACACAGATGCTGAGGGCGTGGGGGAGCCCCGCTTCTACCTGCTGACCAAGGAGAGCACAGAGACCTTCGGCTTCTGCCTGCACGAGGAGCTGGGCTGCCAGGGCCACGTCATCCGGCAGCTCGAGCTCGGGGGGGTGGCCCAGCGCAGGGGGCTGCAGGACGGGGACCGGCTGCTCCAGGTCAATGGCCACTTCGTGGACCACATGGACCACCTCAGGGTAAGCTGGGAGCATCCCATGGGAACGCCTGGGTCCTCCCCAGCCAGGGGCACGGGGGATGCATGAGCCCTGCTGACCCCAGGGACCCTGATCCCAGCCCATCAGAGGGGTGACCCCGATCCCAGCCCATCAGAGGGGTGACCATGACCCCAGCCCGTCAGAGGGGTGACCATGACCCCAGCCCATCAGTTCACAGCCTGGGTCCTTCCAGGTGGTGCAGAAGATCAAGGCCAGCGGGAACCAGGTCCTGCTGGCGGTGCTGGACGGTGGCTCCTACGAAGCAGCCAAGTCCCTGGGCAGGGACCTGTCGCAGATGCTGCCGGAGGACATCCGCCCGCGCCTCTGCCACGTCACCAGGGACAAAAGCGGCTTTGGCTTCAGCGTGTCGTGTCCAGAAGGTAAAGCAGGATGCTGCCACCACGAGCATCCCTGCTGCAGCACCTCGCTCACCCCAAAGTGCCCCTTCTGCTCCTCCTGCAGGCACCAAGGGCACCTTCCAGCTGTCGGTGCTGCAGGACGGGCCAGCGGACAGAGCGGGGGTGCCGGCAGGCTGCTGGCTGCTGGAGCTGAACGGGGACAGCGTCAAGAGCTACTCCCACACGCAGCTCACCAGAAAGGTGCCTGCTCCCGGCGTGGGGGGCGAGGGATGGGGCTGAGAACGTCGCTGAGCGCCCCGTGCTTCCCATGCAGCTCAAGCAGAGCGGCAGCAAGGTGACACTGCTGGTGGCATCCAGCGCCGTGGAGGAGTTCTATCGCCTGCGGGGCCTGCGGGTCACGGCGGCCTTGGCAGACACCTCCAGGCTCCCCTTCAAGGTCCGGGAGCTGCACCTGGTGAAGGGTCCCGCTGGCTACGGCTTCCTGCTCAAGGAGGATGACTGCAGCTCGGGAGGAGTAGGTGAGGGGGCTCAGAGGGGCAGTTTGTACCTGAGCAAGGCATTTCTGAGGGTTGGGAAGAGCTGACAGCTCTGTGCCTGCAAGGGGACGCTGCACAGGGGTGTCAGCAGAGCCAGTTCCCCTCTGTGATTCCCCTCTGTGAGCCTCTGCCCCGCTGTGGCAGGCCAGTTCCTGTGGGAAGTGGATGTGGGGCTGCCGGCCGAGCAGGCAGGGATGAAGGAAGGGGACCGTGTGCTGGCAGTGAACGGGGAGAGCATCGAGGGGCTGGACCACGAGCAGACCGTGCACAGGATCCGCGCCCGGGAGGACCAGGTGACCCTGCTGGTCATCGACCCCGCCGGTGATGAGTTCTACCACTCGGTAGGTTTTGGGGGCACGGTCCTGCTCTGGCTGGGCAGCCCTGTCCTTAAACGTTCTGCTAATTAAACTGATAGCGAGGAGCAGCAGCTCAGCTGAGAAGCAGTTGTTGCCACACTGCTGTCAAAGGCAGGTGCTTTCAGAGGGCAAAGCCCTGGTCCTGCTGCTCCCCTTGCTGTGCACATTTACCTGTGCAAGCAGAGGGGAGGTACCAGGGGGACAGGGAAACAGATCCAGAGGACATCCCCATGGCTCAGGGTGGGCCTGTGGAGTGTCTGTCCCTGGAGCAGCCCCGTGCTGGCTGCAGGGCTGCAGCAGTGCCCTGACTGCAGCAAGGTGGGCACAGCTGTGAGGCTGCACGGTGGCATGGGTGTCCTCCACAGGGGCTGTGTATCCATCCCTCTTCTGCTCTTCCAGATCGGGCTGTCCCCGCTGCAGTTCTTTGAGGACAGTGACCCCGCCTCAGGCTCCTGCACGCCCTCCCTGCCCTCTCGCAGTGGCTCCCCTGCACTCTGTGACGTTGAGGTGGCACCCAAGGGACCTGTGTCCTGGCTGATGGCTGCTGCAAACAGCATAGAGATCATACAGGTAACTCCTGTTACTGCCTGGCATTGCTCTGAGCACCGCTACCCTCCTATTCCACCAATCCTTACATTTCCCTGGCACCTGTGGTGCTGCCAGGAGGAGGCTGGTCTCCTGGCCACAGGGGTCAGGCAGAAAGACCCCTCCAACCTGTGTCCCCGCAGAGCCAGCGCCAGGAGCAGCACACAAAGCTGTGCCAGGCATTCTAACAGCCCAGGAGCCTCTGGATGGGCTCTCCCACACAGCACCTCCACCCAGGCCACGTCCAGCCCCTCGGGCCTCAGCACTGCTCAGCATGGACCCTGCACACGCAGCTCCTGTGTCTCCATGCCTGGCTCACAGCATGACACTCCCAGGGACTCGTCTCTGCTCACCGAGGCTGGCTCAGAGCTTTTATCAACCACAGTGGCAGCTCCTCGTAACCTGACCACAGACCTGTGTCTTTGCCTGCCCAGCTACCTCCAGGGATTTCTCAGGACATTGCACTGAAGCCCTTGCCCAGCTCCAGGCTCTGGGAGTTCCCAGGAGAGCTGAGGCACTGCCCTCTGCACCACGACCCAGGGGACTTGAGGGTTGGCTCAGATCTGCACGTGCATGGACATCTCTCCTGTGCTTCTCCTCTCATCCTCTCCCTGAACCTGTGGGCAGCGAGTGTCCACCACCCACCACCACCCTGCTCCTGCACCGCCCTTTTGGGGTGTGATTAAAGGACAAATCCACGCTGCTGTTTGTGTGGGTGATGTTATGGACAGCTCTGCCACTTGGCAGCACGTCCCAGGGCCGGATCCAGGCTCTCTTCCCAAGCCTGGGAAGATGTAGGAAGCTCTCCAGGTGTGCTGCTGGGAGGGTAAGGGCTGAGAGCCATCCTGAGAGCCCCTGGGCACTGTGCCTGCAGGAATCTGAGAGCAAACTCCTGCAGGCAGCCCTTGTGCTCCACAGCAAGGGTTGTTCCTGAGGGTTCCCCTTGCAGGTGACACGTCAGGAGCACCCGTTCCTGTGCCAGTGCTGGGGGACGGGGACAGGGGGGAATCCCAGCGGGGAAATTTCACCTCTCTGCCAAGCGTAGGAGAGTGAAAACCAGCACAGAGTTTTGCATGTGGCCAAGAACCACAAACCTCTGGCTGAGGTTTTACCTCGGCCCCCTCTCGAGCGTGAACAGAAACACCACACTGGAGTTCCTGCCTCTGTGTCCTCTGAGCTCAGTGCAGGCAGCTGGGGTGCAAAAAGTCCTTGTCCAGCACCCCTGGGAGCTGACAGCTCAGGAGGGAGCAGGGCTGGCCAGCTGCAGGCTGCTTTGGGGGTGAACAGTCAAGGGAGAGGTGGGAAAAGCTTGGCTGGGAGCCCCCAGCAGCACCAAGGTGTGGGGGTCCCTGCATCTGTCCCAAAAGTCCCAAGTGAAACCCTCCCAAGAATCCCAAGTGAGACAGCCACAACAGACCCAAGCAAAATCAACCTTTGCTCGAAGTCTCACAGCCCCAGCTCGGGGTGAATCATGCCCAGAGAAGCAGATAGTCAGGAATGCAATTACTCAAGCGTGTTCCCTGATCTCTTTGGATCAGAGCCATGGTGATTTCTGTACTTGGCTCTCACAAAGCCAATGTTGCCCTCCCCAGCTCTCTCCCCAGGTACTTGTGGTAGCGTGGAGCTGGCCAGGGCACCTGCTGGTGGTCAATCCGGCTTGACTATTAGCCAGAATCCATTAGCACCTAATGGGAAAAGCCTCAGGAACACGGCCTCAATAAACGTTGACATATTTGAGGTCAATATAATCCTTAGGAAAATTTGCCTAGGTAATTAAAGCCAGACAAGGAGTTGCCTGTCCCAGAAATATTTACCAAGCTTTACCAAAGGCAATAAAATGAAGGCAGGGAGTTTTATAACCAATCTATGCTGGGTTCCCTTGTGTTTAGTGCTGCTTCCTGCTGTGCTGCCCATTTGGCTCTCTAGCAAGTGGGTGCCACAGGGGAAGCAAAGCTCCCTGGAGAAGGCTGAATCCAGACATTGAGGCTGTGCTGTCCAACCTCCAGGCCCAAGTTTTGGGGTGCTGATGTGGCCAAACCCACAGGTTGCCTTTGCCTGGTTTCCCCTCGCAGCTCCTGTGTGAGGCCGATGCTGCGTGGTACCAGTCACAGCTGGTTTTTGCAAAAGGATGTGTCCTTCTGCCTGGAAGGGAGATGAAAAGAGGATCTGAGGGCAGCAAAGAAACAGAACTCAACTGACTTTCAAGCCCATCTTGTGATTTTTAAAAAAGTTTGGTAGTGTCAGCTCTGACAAACTCACTCCTTGGTTCCCTTTAGATTCCCTGGTCCCCTTTCCTCTCCCTGGTCCATTTTCACTCCCTGGTTCCCGTTTCTCTCCCTTGTCTCCTTTTGACCCCCTGGTTCTCTTTTCTCCCCCTGGTCCCTTTTCACTCCCTGGTTCCCTTTTCTCTCCCCCGTCCATTTTCACTCCCTGGTTCCTGTTTCTCTCCCTTGTCTCCTTTTGACCCCCTGGTTCTCTTTTCTCCCCCTGGTCCCTTTTCTCTCCCTGGGTTCTCTTTTCTCTCCCTGGCCCTTTTTCTCTCCCTGGTCCCTTTTCACCCCCTGATCCTTTTTCTCTCCCTGGTCCCTTCTCTCTCCCTGGTCCCCTTTTCACTGCCCGGTCCCACTTTCTCTCCCGGCTCCTCTTTTCTCTCCCCGTTGCTCTCGCTGCCCGCCTCCTGCTCCTTCTCCCGTTGGAGCCGGGATGCCGGGACCAGGCTCTGCCTGCCCCTGCCTTTGCGGGGAGAGGCCTCAGGTACCTGCCAGGTCTCCGGTTCCCGCTCCCTCCCTGCCGTGGGGATGCCGGCGCCGCTCCCGCCGCGGGCACATCCCTCTGTGGGAGCGGGGCCGTGCAGCGCCGCTCCCCCGCGGCCGGGCCGTTCTTAGAAAAGGGGAAGGCGCCCTCGGGAAAGGGGAAGCGATCCCGTTTCGCAAGCTGGGCGAGGGCCACGCTCGGGAAGGGCCGCGAAGGCCGCGGGTCCCTCCCGGGGCCGGCGGGGCGAGCGCGGCCCCCGCGTTCCCATGGCGACCGCGCCCCGCCCCGCCCCGCCCGCACCAAGCATGGCCGCCGCACCGCCCTCACGCCGCCAGATGCGCATGCGCCTCCCCCTCCGACCAATCAGCGCCGGATCCACCCCGGAGGAGGAGGCGTGGCCGGGCGCGCGGGGGGGCGGGCAGCCAATCAGCGCCGGCGAGGAGGGCGGGGCCTCGCTGGAACCGGGCGCCACCGCCCACGGCCGCCGCCGCCGCCCTGCCCGGCCCGGCCCGGCCCGCAGCGCCCTCAGCCCGGTCCCCTCCAGGGCCGCGGCCCCGGTGCCGGACGGGCCCCACGGGCCGGGTGTGGGCGCCCCCATGTCGGCACCGCTGAAGAAGGGCCCCGGCGGGCTCATCGGGCTGATGAAGGACGCGTTCCAGCCGCACCACCACCACCTCGGGCCGCACCAGCCCGGCGCCGTGGACAAGAAGATGGTGGAGAAGTGCTGGAAGCTCATGGACAAGGTGGGGAGGGCGGTGGGGTGGAAGCGGCCGAGGGGGCTGGGGTGGCATGGGGCTGGCCTGGGGGGTTTGGGGCTCCGGGATCAGGGGGGATCTGGGATGGGGCTGGAGCATGGGGGTGGCTGGCAGAGGGGGTCTGTGGCTCCAGGGGGGATATTTGGGGGGCTGAGAGGTGTGGGGGCACGGAACGGGGTGCAGCGCTTTGCGGGAAGGATGTAATGAGCGTGGAGTGACAGGACAAGGGGGAATGTCTTTGCACTGCTGGAAGGCAGGGTTAGATGGGGTATGGGGTAGGAATTTCCCCTGGCAGGGTGGGCAGGCCCTGGCACAGGGTGCCAGAGGAGCTGTGGCTGCCCCTGGATCCCTGGCAGTGCCCAGGGCCAGGCTGGGCAGGGCTGGGAGCAGCCTGGCACAGTGGGAGGTGTCCCTGCCAGGGACTGGGATAAGATGGAACTGAAGATCCTTCCAACCCCAAGCACTCTGTGATTCCATGTGGAACCTGTGGAGAGGTGAGGATGGAGGAGAGGCAGCGTGGGAATGGGATGCCAGGATGGGAAGGCATGAAGGGACATCAGCAGCTCTGCAGAGAACAAGGTGGAGGAAGAGGGGAGAGTTTGAGATGGAGGATTTGGAAGTGCCTAAGAGGATCTGGAATCCTTCCCTAGGGCAGTGGTCACAGCCCTGAGGCTGCCAGAGCTCAGCAGCTGTACAACACCCTCAGGCACAGGATGGGATTGTTGGGGGGTCCTGTGCAAGGCCAGGAGTTGCACTGGATGATCCTGGTGGGTCCCTTCTAAGCCAGGATATTCTGTGATATCTGTATTAATCATGTACAGATAATGCCAGTCCTGTAGGTGCTGGGAATGGGGTGGGAACTGCAGGTGGTGACAGCAGCAGGACAAGGGAGAAGTCTAGGATTTGCTCTTTGGAAGCAAACAGACCTGGTGTGTGGGTAGTGGATGGTGAAGCTTTGTGGCAGGTCAGGTTATTCCTTTTGGAATGAACAGGAATATGTTGCTGCACCTTTTCCTTTAAAAAGAGGAAAAACTGTAAAAGCCTGAATAAACCCTTTTGCAATAAGCACATGGAGTTACAGAAAGATAAAGTATCAAGTGATGTTTAACAAGAAAAACTTGTGCTGTGGGAGCTGGAAAGGCCTTCTTCCAGCCCCACACCTTTAGGAGGGGCATGGCTCTCTGGGGTCATTAAGACTCTCCACTCCTCCTCCTCCTCCTTTTCAAATGCCAGGAAATGGCTCTTGCCGGGGGCAGGACACCAGACCTTTTGGCCTGTTGGTGTGATGGGATATTTGATTTACTGGCCTGGCTAGGTGTGCTGGTCAGTCCAGTGGTTTCAGAAATCCTGGGGAGTTGTCAGGGAATGATCAAGCGAGTGAAAGCAGACACGAAGAAATAGGCACAAAATAAAAATATGACATTTTAATGGAATTTTCATTGATTATTACTGTTCAGCCCTGAAATCAAGGCTAGGTTTGACACGTTGCAGTCTGAAATGAGCAGTGCATTTTACGACACTGAGTTCAGGGCCCTACAAGTAGTGTAGAGTAAGAGGATCACCCAAGTTGCACCCAGGCCTTGGGGACTGTCACCTGGCCACCTCCTTCCCCTCTGGCAGCAGAGCAGGCAGGGATTTTGGGCATCCCTCATCCAACTGCCCCTCAGGCTCATGGATTTTCCTTCTCTTTCTCCTGCATTGTTTATCCATGCAGTGTCTGAACCTCCTGCAGTAAGTGCTAAAAGCAGGCAGAGCAAATGACTTCTTTAAAGGCGTATTAAATTCTGTTCCTGCCAAGAAATCACTCTGTGTTGGCTGGCTCAACAAAAGGCACGGTTTCTAGTTGTGCCTTGCTGTGCCTGTGATGAGCTTTGATCACCTACAGAGGCTGGGCCAGAGGAAAGAAACCCTTTTGAGAAGTGCCATTGGCTCTGTTACAGACTCTGAGGGCCAAGCAAGCACAAGTGCTAATGTAGAAAGGCAGTTTGGGCATTAAACAGCACCCTAAATAAATGTAACCTGTAAGGATGCACATCTTCATCTATGGAATATGTAGATAGAGATGGCAACTTGTGTTTGGCCTCATAACCCGCTCTGCTCGAAGGAAAAGACTAGCCTGGAAAAAAAGCTGATTATTGTGGCATTTTAAATGCAGTGGGATTTTTTTTTTTTGGGGGGGGGGGAAATTTCACAGCTTTATGTCTTTATAGGAGGCTGGATGTGTTCTCTCTCCACTGGCAGAAAAGCCAAGGCTGCTGCTGTATTTGTCACAAGTTACACCAACCTCTTTTGACTCCAGGTTTACTCATAGGCAGCATCCAGAAGCTGTCAGGCTTGAAGTCTTGTTCAGTCTACAAAAGGAGAGATCTGGCTCTGAAAAGCCTTTCAGATTTCAGTTAGATTTCAGCTGTACTCATGCACACTCAGAAAACACATCTGAATTAAAATCTCTTCAGTGGTGTAGCAAAAACCCAGAGAAGCTGATGCTGAGAAGGGCTAAATGAATAGAAGGTGTTGAGAACGGGTTCGATTTCTGGGCCAAGAACATGAAAATCCAGGTGCAGATAAAAAACCTGCTTGTGTGCATGTTTAATAGATGATGTTTTTGCCTCTCAGAGCTGCGTGCTGTGTCTGTGTGGGTACACTACACTCACGACCTCATTTGTTAGTCTGCATAATTAGCTGGTGTTGTCAAAGCATTCGTGCATCTCTGCTTTCGGATGTGACTGATGAATTTCCTATGCAAGTTGATTCTTGTCCAAATATTTTCCCTGTAATGCTCTCCATAAGCTGCCTGACATATTTATGTCTTTCAGATTCTTTCATTTGAAGCCCTAATTTTTTTGTCAGTGCCATTCCTCCCACAGCTACATGTGGTCACACAGAGCATGGACACAAAATAGCCCTTTCCATCCCTGTTGGATGTTCCCCTTCAGCTGAATGAAGTGATATTTATGCATTTCTCTGCAGAACAGAGATGAAATGCAGCCCCCTGGAGTTCACTGCTGTGGGTGGTATTTGAGGAATAGGTGGGTTAGTCATGAGCTGCTTGGGATGGAGCAGAGTGGAATAAATGTGGGAAAGCACGGAGGAGGAAGAACAGCTTTGAGATAAAGCTTCTCTAAAGGGTTTCCTGATACCATTCAGTTCCTAGAACTCATGTAGAGAAGTGCCACTGCAGGTCACCTTCTTCGTGAGGAGAAAGGCCAAACACAAATCTAGCAAGAGATAGGAGATGTTTGAGTAGGTTTTGTTTTGCTGTTGGCTTACACTGGAATGAGGTGTGATCTCAGTGCAGTTAGCTGTTCAGCTGCTAAAGGAAGGGAAAAATGAGTTTTCAAAACTACCCTGGGAGGGAAAATCATACCTGGGAGTAGCCCCTGGATGCTCATCAGGCCTGGGAATCTTAAATCCACAATTAGTCAAAGCAAGCTGCAGATTGTTGAGGGGAAAGATTCAATTCTAGGCCTCGAAGATCTAAATGAGATTATTTTTCCTAGAATGAGTATGTAACAGATTCTTTCCTCAAAACGCAGTAGGGGAAACGGAGGTTTTTGGGGTTTTTGACTTGTATTTGGGAAATTGAAATGTATGAAGTCAATTTTCAGGTTCTTCACAGGCCCACCTCTCTTCATGCTGAGCTTTATTGGCATGTCTGAAAACCCAAAAATATCTCCCTAAATGGTTTGTTCCTCAGAGAACACAACGTAAGCCAGACAAACTTTTGGATGATAATTTAAAACCATGAATTGCTTCTGTTCGTTGCCATCACACCTAAACAAAAAAATATTTTTCTGCTTTTTTGCTCAATTTCCTTCCACGTTGCTGGTCCCTGTGGAAGGCTGCTGAGGGGCAGCTGTTCCCAGGGCTGGGAACATTCCTTTGGATGTTGTCATGATGCTGCAAGTGCACACGTAGAGAAATGGAGAAAATGCCACTGCTTTTGTTGCTGCTGTGTTATAAAAGCACCAAGTTTGCTCAGGAGGCAGCAGTTTTGTTGAACTGCTCATCTCAGCTAATTTTGATCTGTTTGGTAAATAAAGAAGCTGATTTGATAATAAAATACCAGCACTTTTGACCTTTCTGTTAACTGTTTGAGGCATCTACACTGTGGGAAGCATTTTACAGGGGCTCTGAGAATGAGCAGTTTGCAGAACTCTCTGCTGCTATGGGGGAATTGTTTTAATTGCTACCAAAGTCTGAAATGCAGCAGGTCTGCTGCTCCCATAGCTGGGTATTTTCAAAGTGTAACAGCCAAATTGTTCTCTATTTCCAGCTGGCTGAGGGAAGTGCAGGCTCTGCTTGCTTCATGTGGCTTCCTCCTCTGAGCTGACTGTGTTTGTTAGGGTTTTAAACCCACTGTATAATAAACAATTTCTGCTGAAGAAAAGGTTTTGCTGCCCAGAGCACAGCTCAGCTGGGTCTGAAGAGCATATTTAGAACCTATTCATGCTCATAGTGAAACTCTTTTTTTTTTTTTTTTTTTTTTTTTTTCAGGGGACAAATGG